TTATTTATTTATTTATTTATTTATTTAATCACTTTCACCAGAGTGTGGTGAGGGTCGCACAACAGAGCGAGGCTCCAAATTAAGTGCGCCCTATATCCCACCCATCCCACCCCAGGGGAGGACATCCATCACACAGTAATCTCGTGTGTGGGAAATTAACGTCTCCTACCCCAACCCTGCAGGAGACGGGACCTCCATTTATTCGTCCCTATCCGAGAAGACTAGAATATCTAACCATTTCTTGATGTTATAGAAAGGTAGCAAATTCTTCTCAATTATTTTCAGACCTTGAGTATTGGTCCAGCCGGGGCTCGAACCCTCGACCTCCCGCACTACAGTCCAGCGCTCTATCCATTGAGCTAACCGGGAGGCGGTCAATTTGTCTCGTATCCTGTGTTATTTCCACTGCAATAATTATTCTAACTTTGACCCTGATTATTGAAGTTAGTTTATGTGATGCAAAGCTTTACATCTAATCAAGATAATCCTTGTACCAGAGTGCAAGAAATGCTTTCTAGGAGGCTCACACTTTGAAATGACCTTTGCAAGAATTCCTTGGAATACTCACTTCTCACTTCTCTGTCTTTTCTAACTGACCTTCTCAGTTTCTAATTACACAACCTGCTGTCAATAGGTTTGTGGACTGAAGTGGTCCCCAGATCATCAGCATTTAGCATCAGGAGGCAATGATAACAAGCTGTTGGTTTGGAGCATGTCTAGTCTGTCACCTGAGCAACAGTATAGTGAACACTCAGCAGCTGTCAAAGCCATTGCTTGGTCTCCACATCAGGTGTGTACAGTGTTCAGTACTGTGCACTACAATATGGTGGTACAAAAAGTGTCCAATTGTGGACTTAAGTCAACTGTTCAATAATGGACACTACTCTCTGATTTGGATGTAAATGGCCAATTTTAGACACAAGTGTCTGATTTTGGACACTAGTGTGCGGTTTTGGATGTTAGTGTCTGAGTTTAGACACTTGTATCCGATTTTAGACACTTGTGTCCAATTTTGGATAACAGTGGCCGATTTTGGACTGAAGTGTTTGATTTTCGACATTTGAGTCTGATGTTAGATTTAAGTGTCTGAATTTGGACACTTGTGTCTGATTTAGACATTAGTGTCCGATTTTAGGCTTTAGTGTCTGACTTAATAGACACTAGTGGCCGATTTTTGACATTATTGTCGATTATAGACACTAGCTCACAATTTTGGTTGAAGTATTTAACATGAAGTGTGTCTATATATCATAGCATGGTTTGTTGTCTTCTGGGGGTGGTACAGCAGACAGGTGCATTAGGTTTTGGAACACATTAACAGGACAACCACTACAGTGTGTGGACACTGGCTCACAGGTAGGTAGAGACTGATTCCTGTAATCTCCTTACCAGGTAAATGACAAATGAACGTAAAATAGTCATGAAAATAAGGCCTTTGATCATTTACGGAAAATAGAGGCAGAGAGAGGGGGGGGAAGGCGGCTTCCTGATTAAATAACTCCACTGTGACTGCCTGTTGCAGGCTCTATGTCATTTGCGATTTCCAGAATTAAATCGTTTCGATCACGATCCTTGAAATTTCTCGGAGCTTCTCTAAACTCGAAACTGAGAGTAGGAAGTGGATTGTATTACATCTTAGTGGTACGGTAAGGTGTTGGTGGTAGCTTGCAGCTGTAGAATGAAAAAATAATACTTGTTTAGAGATATTTGCTGTCTTACATCCACCCACCTTTACAGTTGTGACTTGTCTCCTCTTACCAACAGACCAGCAGAGAGAGTAAGCTTCACTTCTCAATAACAAATTTTGCTGATGCAATTTTTGAATTTTGTGTTCTGCCTTATCTCAGGTGTGCAACTTAGCGTGGTCGAAGCATTCAAATGAACTGGTGAGTGTTTTCATTTTTAAAGCGATAGTTTCTCACACAAGTTCGGTATTTATTATATTTGTGTAATGTGTCTGTATAAGCCCGGAAATTCTCATCATTGATGGTTGTTTTGTAGGTCAGCACGCATGGCTATTCACAAAACCAGATCTTGGTCTGGAAATACCCATCATTGACTCAAGTGGCCAAGCTGACGGGTCACTCTTACAGGGTTCTTTACTTGGTGAGCTCTCAGTGTCATCAGTTAATATTAGTCACGCAATACTTTACTTCACTTCACGTCACATAGAAAGTTACGATGACCAGCTTTTGCATGCGTTATCTGTAGTCACTAGATACTCCTACGTTGCGTGGTAATCAGTTTTGCACGTTATTTCTTAAGTCAAGCAGTACGTAGCGAATTACTTACTGGTGAGAGTTTACACATTAATTGTAGGCCGTATCACCTGATGGAGAGGCTATAGTGACAGGAGCAGGCGATGAAACTCTCCGATTTTGGAATGTCTTCAACAAAGCCCGCTCGCATAAGGTATGGCTAATTTTCATTCTGCGTTCGGTCGAGTGATTTATACTTTGATGTGCTTTGCAAAGTGTAGAGATCTCGTCATTTGTGCGTCGACTCATTTCTTCAGTTCATGGGAATAACCTGTTTATAAAGGGAAAATTGTGATGTGTTCTTGGGCAAGGCAGTTTACTGGCCTGTAACACCTCTTACCGCTGTCTGTTTCGCCTGCTCGAAGGCTCTCGTGTTTGGGTTTTGTCTTACAGCCCTTTTTTGGGCATAGCTAGTAGCCGCCTATTACCATCGGCAGCCGCTTATGGAAAAAAATATTGAAGCCTCTTTCACTGTACCTCTCTATCCACCTGCTTCACCTCTTTCTCCATCCACTGTACCCTCTCTCCACCCACTGTACCCTCCCTCTCCACCCACTGTACCCATTCTCTTCACCCACCGTACCCTCCCTCTCCACCCACTGTACCCTC